AACGTTACATTTTGGATGGGTATTGCTGTACTATAAGACAATGAAATATATCAACAGCTTGGTACCAAAAAAGGTCAGTATTCTAGTTTCATGTCAGCAATTGGCCAGACATAACATTTTCTAAATTATTTTTGTTTCAAATTAATTTCGTGTTTATGCTATGTACTTTCATTACATTAAGTAGAAGTTTGGTTATTAAAATGAGATTCTGGGGCAGGCCTAGGGATCTGCATTTTAATGCCAGGGTGGGCATGATTCCCCTGCACACTGGTTGAGGTACCTGTGACCAGCAGCAGCAGTAGTTATGTACAGGCTTACTCTGCCAGGGCAGTCTTCACAACTCTTGATGAGGCTGGTACTAGTGTCCCATTTCACAACTGAGCAAACAGCCAAGTTACAGAGCTAACAAGATTCCAATGTAAGCAGCTGGCTTTAGACTATCTCTTGGCCATGATGCTTTACTGCCTTCATACTTTTCTGAATGATGTGATAAAGCTGTGAGTTTGGGGGGTGAATGAAGTCAAATTTGGAGTGGTGAGAGCTGAGAAGAAGGATGTTGGAGTTAGCACCTAATTTGGGAGAACTGAGAGGAAGGGTAGACCATGGTGAGAGAGCACTCTGGAGTAAGGCTGGGTTTTGGGACCTAATCTTATATGCATCAGCTGGGTGTGTGAAAGTGGACAACTCATTTAGAATCTTTTATGCTTTCAACAGAACTGTATCTTGAACACATAGTAAGTGCATTATTTAAAATGCATTACTTTTACATAAGTGGTGTCAACAGGCAAGCCCTACTTTGGCCTGCTTGTAAGGCTTGGAATTCTTAACAGGCCAAAAAGACCCAGTCTCAGTAACAGTCTAGAAAGGAAGCAGTTTAACTGTTCTGTCTCCCAAGGCTGGATAAACAGGACAGGGCTAGGAAGTCATTTGTCTGGCGGAGACATTTCTTCCTCTTAAAACATTCTGGGCGTAAAGCAAGCTAGGAAACTAGTTTCCCAAGAGGCACACAATGGTTTAAAGAAGAATATACATGTCAAAGCTCATGGGCTAGTAATTGAGGCCAACTTGGGAATTGCAATTTACTAGGGCAACCGTTCAAGCCATTTAGGAAGCATGGCAGAAATGAGGTTCTCTTTTACTTGGAATGTGTTATATTTTTCTCAAGTGTAATGAAATTAACCCCTGAAGAGACCCAATCCATCTCATTACTACTTAACAGCCATAAAATTTCTCTACAAAGTCCTTTTGCAGTAAAAGTTGAATCATCTTCCACAGAATCAGCTGTTGGTGAAGGAGGGTGTCTTTGCATTCCCTCTTAATGTAAACAGCAAGAGCCAGCTGGGATAATTCATTTACAACCTGTGAACTCTGCTGCTGAGGTTATGAGAGCTGAAAAAAACAAAGAGCAAGCATGCCAACCCTGAAACACCACGTTCTGTTCTGACTTAAGTGATTTCATTTCCCCACAAGTGGTCGGCACTCACTTCTGCTCCTGCCGTGGTTCCTGCCTCTTCCCTCTATGTGAGATCCTGGCTCAAATGCAACGATGGCCATAGATCCCCCCCATATTCTCTTCTTTCCTTGTCCCATAGTAAATTTCTCCTCAGTCGTGCTGGCTTTATCTTATGAGAGTACAAGTTTTGTGTGGAAGGAACTGGTCTGACTTTCCCAGGAAAGTCAGTTCCTTTGGTTGCTTATAGAAGGCACTCTATTTTGAATAAAAAAGGAAACCCTTCAAATACCAAAGCATATTAAAGAACTGCTCACATACAGCTTAACTTTAACGTTTTATTTTGTGTAAAAAAGGGCAAATTTAGTGAGTTATTTTCATCTTGTACACAAAGTTATAATTTTAATGCTTTTCACATCCATGCTGAAAATTTGCAATTTGGTAAAAATGAAAGGAACATAAATTTTTCCAAAGGAATTTTTCACGCCATTATATACACTTTCATGAGAAAGTTTCAAACACTTTCTCAATGATCACAAGTTACCAAGAAAATAAAAGATTAAATTTGTACAGATATTGATCTACATATCAAATACATACAGAAATGATGTAAAAACCTTATGCAGTTTACTTTGACCTCTGTCCTCAAAAGATTTGCCCAGGGACAGATGCTTTTCTTTTGTATAAATGACTGTGGCTTCATTTAAAATATGAAAATCAAAGGAAGAAACCCAGTTTAATCACAGTATTTTTAAAATCCCTTCCCAATAGTAAAGGATCATTACCAAATATATAGCACCATAATACAAATATTGACAGGAGAGGGTATTCACATCACGCAAAATTAATAATAATAAAAACAAACAAACACTGAAAACCCGTGTTAGTATCCGTAGAATAAGAAGTTGATAATAGCTTTAGCTTTCCTCATACACAGCAAGGAAAAGGTTAAAGAGTTTAAACTACCAAAAATCCCCAAATAATCCTAATAGGAAAAAACAAACAAACCGAAGGTCAGCAGTACATTTGAACCGTAAAAGAGAATGGGGCTACTGAGTTGTACACTTGGAGTTGTGGCTAAGACATACTATGTCTCCTCTGCATCAACTCATTTTCTGTTCATCGGCAGTAGGAGTTAAAGAGTCTGAAGTAATGAAGAGGGCTTCAGATTGTGTTTAGACTGTAGGAAGTCCTTACCAACCTTTAACTGTTGGTCACGGGATTAAGACAGAAACACTTCATAAATAGGTGGGAAATTAAAAAACACTCAGAACCTGGTTTTGCTGTAGAACTGGAAGCTTAACAACCTGGCTCCAAATGAGCATTTCACAGAACTAATTACCAGGCTCCAAATCAAATCCCTCTTGGTTTATTCAGTTCCCCACAGAGCCCCTAAGCCAAGGCTATTGTTAGAGCACTCGATACAACTGGCTTCTCGTGCCCGTATCATGGAATCAGAGTCCTGGGTTTAATTCACTGAGCCTGAGAATAAAGACTGTTGTAACCCTTGCTTTGGAAGTCTTCCAGGCTTTAAGTTTATGGGAAGATTCTTAAAAGTTAAAGATCTGGGAAGTGTGAGGATGTCACATTTACAGTAGGTCCCTCTCAGTAATGTTAAGATAAATATCCAGTAATTTAACAGCTGAATTCACATATATTTGACACATGAGAATCAACTCGGCGTTGATATGATCTGCATTTCTGCCCCTAAAGAGTCAGTATTAAGAAATGTTGACATGCGATTCCATACATTCTTATACTATAAAGTAACAAATTTTACTTCCAGTAGCAACTACAAAACCTTATGATATTAACCCCTCTTGCATAGAATGAGGTAAACTTGTGCATATTACCAATGCTATTATTCCCAAAAGTAGAGCAATATTTTAGAAAATAAATTGCTGGTTTTTAATGTTCTATGCATTTTAAAATTCAAACAAAAATCTTACCTAAAATGGTCTCCTGGGGCTTTCCATAAACATCTTTTAAAGCATTCCATAGGCTGAAGGACTGTAGAGGTTAATCATTTTGATTAATTTCTAATTAGCCCTACCTGTATTCCAGAGGAGATGGAATTACCGCTCTGAAGAGGCCAGGCTAAGACCCAGAAGCATTTCTAGAACGGATGCAATTAATTCCTGAGAGTTTAGTTTATGAACCTCACTGGTAAATGCTACAGCTCTCTCATTCAGTCACAACTCAGAAAGTTAGAAAAATGCAGAGAGCAAACCTTTCACCAATTTACCCTTATATCCTTTTTTTTTTTTAAAGGAAGCCAGGTGAATTTTAAAATAGGGAATGTTCAAAATGGTCCAAATTGTCATTACCGTTTAAATTAATCCTGAATACAATAAGACAATTTATGCTACATGTATATGTGTAAATATATATATGGAATTTTAAGAAAATTAGATTCTCTTTCAAATTAGTTTTCTAACAAATCCAGGATAGTTAAAAGCACAGCTGGAATGATTTTGAAATCTAAACTTACTTTGACTTTAAACAAGTGTTAATTTGATTCTCCCGGTAATACAGAACACGTGTTTTTGGGTGTGGTCATACCAAGTATTATCTCACAGATGAAGGGAAATGGCAGAGAACTGATCAGAATCCCTTTTGTGGGGCGTTTTGTAGTAAGGAAAATAAGACAAACTTAGGACAATATTGCATTTTCCCCAGCCCCTCAACATGTAGACTGAGATCTTGTATATCTTGTCAACCATTCCAGTTTAACACTTTAGTGTTAGGATAATTTTAATCATTTTTTAATTAAAAGAGAACATATAAAAGTATCCAGAGTTCATCCAGTTTCATAAAGAACTCTAAATAAATTTTCACAGAATGAAAAACATTTCTGTACAAATATTTAAAATGGGCTGCAATAAAATGCCAACAAGCAGAATTAATTACCCTTCCGTGATCTATGTGGTGACAAGCCCTCCACGAGGGGGTTCAGTTGCATATTCTGCAGCAGAGGAAGCTGAAGATGTGACTGGCCTAACTTCTAAAATCCCAAAATCTCCCAACAGGTACCAAAAAGGTTCATTTGTAATGACAGTTCATTTGCATTTACAACTATATCCTTCTTAAATCGTTTCCTTCAATCCTGCTACCTAAACTTTAATCTTACCAAAAAAGTTAGAATTTCAGTTCTTGTTAACAATGCACATAAATCCAAACTTGGAAAATATTACAAAATTCTTTCAAAAGCTTCAAATACAACACAAAAATTGTCCATCTTTATAAATTGAAAAATTTCCCCCCACGGCTAAAATAGTTTCCCCACCCACTTGAAAAATCTGGAACTGAAATTTTCTATGTTTAGCAAAATGTCCCAGTAGAATAGCCCCGCTGTACAGCTTGATTGATTATAAATCAGTCCTGTGTAAAATTCTTTCCCTCCCACCCTCAGTTTCTGAGCCACCTCAGGGCTCTTGTTTGATGTAGAAGTTGGCAGAGCCATTGCTTTCCTGATCAGATGCTCCTTGGAGGAAATTATAATCCTCTCCATCTATCAACTCCTCCTTTAGCTGCAATGTAGTCACTGCAAGAAAGAGATAAATGTACAAGATGCTATTAAGCCTTTCTGGAATGAATATTGACTGCTTTTAATCTTCACGTTCCATCAGCTTTACAGTTAATAAGGTTTCTTCATGTCTTCAATAACTCTTTAAAATTACCCCCTCCCTGAAGTATGAGCATTTAATTAACTCTAATTTTCAAAGTAGATTAGTAGTTAAGCAAAGTTCTGAAAAGGAACAATACTGCATATTGAACACTGCACAATGGGCCTTGTCAATGAAGGGCCTCGTCAATGAAATGTTCAAGGTAATAGTGATCACTAATTTTACTAGAATAATTAGAATTTTTCTTCTGATTACGTATTCACTTTTATGTCAAGGTCTACAATGACATTATTTCTTAGATGGCTCTGAACTAGGATAAGTAACATAATAAATATGTGTTAAATGTATTATCTCCAAGGAGTACCTTTGTTAAAAGACTCTTCAGAAAAAAAAGATATAAATCTGATATTAAAATAGTATTATAAATAACATAAATATATTACTTATAATATAAATACAATGCAAATATATAAACAATTTGTATATTCATAAAAATAATAAATCTGATATTAGATAAGCACCTATATTAAAATTAAAATCAAGAAAAACTTAAGTAATCATTTGGGGTAAAATAAAAATTGATTGACATCAGCAATGTGAAAATCATTGGTATAAAATGGCTAACTTTACCAATAAGATCACATAACAGTAGTACTGCCTGTCTGAGTTCTTATCTGATGACTTCTTTTTAAATGAAAACAAATGACAATATAGGCAGTCCTCAGTTTATTCAGGGCACGTTCCAGTAAGTCTTTATTTTTACAGACAACTGTTTTTCAGTTTCTAGTATTTTCAGCGGGGTTTAGGTTTCTTGGTATCCACTGAAGTCATGCTAGTTGGAATTTGTAGTGACAGGAGGGCTCTTTTCTAATGCATGGGCAAGCAAGAAAAGAAAGGAATTCTTTCTTTGCTAGTTCCAGCCCTGGTCTTAACAAAAAATTAGGCTGTTTAATTCTGAGATTTTCCTCTCTTTATAAATCTCAGTTACTGTCCCTTAACACAATTAGCTAGTAACTTCAGATTGCCCATAAGTTCTTTCCCTGGAGCCCACCCCCTACTTCCTATAAAACTCCTCCCTTCAAAAGAACTACTTCCCTACTTTCTAAATGAAAATGATCTCAGCTAGGTATGAAACATTAGTCTTAGTAACTGCCAACTCTCAGAGAATGTGTTTAGGTTTCTTAAGAAATTATTGTTTAACCAAAATCGAGTTGGTAAAGTTTCAAATAATTTAAAGATCAAGTGATCTCTTTTGTATTGTTTGATGAGGGGGAGGTAATTAGGTTTATTCACTAATTTCTGCTTGGAGGACACTGGGGATTGAACACTGCTTGGAGGACCTCTTGCGTGCTAAGTATGTGCTCTACCACTTGAGCTATACCCCTCCCCTCAAAAGCAAGTGGTCTTTTATGCTCGCGTACTCACTGGGATCCTGTGGTGAGTAATGCTAACCTTCTTCTTCAATTTCTTAAGCACACAGATCTACTAAATCAGAGGTCACAGACTCTGCGTTTCCCTCCCACACCTCGGCCCTGTGGTTCTTTTAAACTTGACTGAGTATTTTGCAACAAGAGATTTCATAAAAAGCCCTGAAAAGTAGGGAGACTTGTTAACAAGAGACTAGCATTCTTGAAGGACTATTATAGTGGGAACCGACTGGCTGCCACACCCTGGCTGGGTAGCTAAGACCTCCCTCTTCACGATGTGTGACTCTCACTCACACTGGCTGTGTTACTCATTGAGCAACCAACTTGTCTGCTTCCTGCAGGCATTGGTTCCAAAGGAAAGGTGAAAATAATTATTTTTCTTTACTATGGATCTTTTCATTACAATTGGACCAAGAGGAAGAAGATATATATGGAATGTAAATTGGGAACTGCTCATATGAGAAAAAATGTCAGTTTATGAGAAGAATTAAGACTCAGAGTATTTAGATGAGCAGTAAGCCAATTAAGTTTTCATGAGCAATAACTCGACAGTGTCACCATGTGGAACAGTATTAAAATGGCTACACTTTAACAGTCAAATAGTGATAGAAAAATACTTCATCTCGATTTTAGTTACAAAAGATTAGTTTCAAAAATAGTGGTCTTGGGAGTGGGTATAGCTCAGTGGTAGAGCTCATGCTTAGCATGCACAAGGTCGTGGGTTCAATCTCCAGTATCTCAATTAAAAATTTCTTTAAAAAAAGGCCTTTGACATCTTATTTAATAATTTAAAGAATAAAATTTTGAGATATGCTAATTCATTTTATTTTGGTACTTGTTTTGGTAATGGTGTTAAAAAAATTAATAGCCCAAACACAGAAAAGTGAATACATTAAGCCTATAATAATAGCAAAACAAACACCAAACTGTTGAAAGATAAAGCAAACATAACTGTGCTTGCTTTCTTTAAAAAATTACTTAATAAAAAGCTTTTATGGAGGATATCAAGCATATAATGGTTATCCTTCAAATCAAACCAACATGCATTAATTGTTAAAGACATTTGAATAATACCGTGAAAATACACACATGGAAACAGAAAAAACTCCAAGTTTCATTAAAGGTGCAGTACCCACAATAAAAGGTTGATTAAAACAGTATCTGTTGTATGATGATCAGATGGCTAAATGAATGAGGAAAGAATTACTGTGCTTCCAGACCAAACATGTTCCACTCAAACAGATGTTTGTTTTTAAATGTAAGAAAAGTAAGTTGAGATTCTAAATTAGCACAGCCTGAAACTATTTGTATTTACTATGAACAACAAATTTCTGAATTATGCTTCTACTCATGTTGAAATATGGAAACAATGTGCTTAAAAAAAAGTAACTCAAGAGAAAGGTGAAACACTCACTCAGATGTGGAATGTTTTAATGCAAAGTTTCATTGCTTTCATGGAACCTAAGATAAAGCCTGTCTGGTATCTTCACACTAATCATTTCTCCTTTACAGGCCTTATTCTTAATGAACGATGGATAAAATTAAATAGGTCCTGTGGCTGCATGTTACTTTCTATATAAATGCATTTTCTTGGCTCTGTTTTTAAAAGGAAGTCACTTTGCTGATTCTAATCACTAATATTTCAGGAGATAAGTTGACAGAAATCACATTTTCCTAGTTAGAAGTCCATAAATAGTAAACTCTCTCAAAAGCTAATCAAACTGTAACTTTTACATAGTTAAGACAGCAACGCAGTCCCTGCATAGATTTGCCAGAGTAAAATCACACCAAGTCCCACAAGTTGTGTCCCCTGCTCAGAAAACACACACAACAGACACGAGTGGAAAAGGAAGTCACTTAGGAGGCCTTGTAGTTTCCACCCTGTTCGTCTACTCTTAAGTTCCTGGGTTTTGCCAATCCTAAAAGTCAAATTCTCTCTCAAAACATGACACACGCCTTCAAAATCAGTCTAATGCTTAAAAAAAATACAACTACAATTAAAAAAAATTCAAGTATATTCAGAGCTCACAATATTTATACTTACTTAGGTTACAGAGAACTTTCATAATATCAACTACAAAAAGAAAAAGTTAAAAAGGCAAACAAGAGAAGAAGCTGAAATGCTATTTAGATACACTTTGAAGGTTATCTCCATCGCAGGGCAGATAAACTTGGATTTGCAGTCCTAATGTATTTCTTATACAAAAGAGGTAGTTATTTTCTTTAGATATAAAGATATGAGAGTGATCTTCAGAGAAATAGACTGGGAAGGATCAAGATCACTTAATACACTGTTAAGAAGGCAAAAGCTAAAGGACACATCTTAAAATGGGGGAAAAAAAGGTTGATGACAACTTCAGGGGAAAAATATTAGCAAATAGAGGAATGAGAGGAAAACAGCTAGGAACTAAGTTCCATTGGGATTTACAACATACAAAAGACATTCTAAAGAATGCTAATTAGATTTTTTAAATCTTAGTTTAAAAGCAATAGTTAGAATATGGCAGAATATATATGGCTTTGAAGCTGTTTGATCTGTACTTACGCTTAAAATTCATCATACGCAAGGAAAGCTTTTCTGATATTCAATGACAACATGTTTGTTCTTAGCAATTACAAAGGGCAATCTTCCTTTCCCTCTATCAGCTTGGTCTAACCAATTCAAATTAAATATAACTTATTTACTTAATAACTGAACATACGTAAACATAAAATTATAGAAACAAATTTCACTCAAATTCAACACCAAAATTATACAGTTACTTGTATTTCCAAGTCCATGTTATTCAACTAAGACTATGGTAAATGCTACTACCAGAACCAACATTACACAGGAACACAAAACATATCCTTTCTAATGAATGAGACACTATGGAATGCTACGAACAAAGCCTCATTTTTGGATCTGATTAATCAGATTGATCACTCCTGGCCTGTTTCTCCCCCAGCTCAAGTCACACAGAATTCTGCAATGCAGAATGTTCAACCATTTTAATGAAACCACGAAATAGTACAAATTATCTCATAATTCCATAAACCGAAATTATAGCTTTACTTGAATTTGAAGCTCAGAAGTGGTTTATAACAAAATAAAAATCCACCCCTGATGATTCATCTTAGTGAAGTGACTACTACCAAGGACTAGTGAAAATGAATTTTTTAGTTGAAAGAAAAAGAAAAATTGAATGAATCAGCATCTGTCATGCCAGACCATGCTTTGTCTCCCACCACCCTAACCCAGACTTTGAGCCCCTTGCAGTACCTGAGGTGCTGACGTGACTGATTACCTGTTTTGAGGCTGGGACTGAACTCTCGGCTAGTGCGGGGAGGTGGGAAGGCCTCCGGGGCTGTCTGTGCTGGAAGGGTTCGATATGGAGGAGGAGTCAACTCTTCGTCACCAGAGAAGCTCCTCCGCACCTCACCTGTCATGGGCAGGCTCGACAAACTGACAGGCTTCTTCTCAACTGGCATCTTCCTCTCTAAACATCAAGTCAAACTAAAGTAAGCTTTCACTGGCATGCGTGGTAAGAAAAGTGCATCATAACTAGGAAATGTGTTGCACAGGATACTCTGAAAAGAGAACCCAGTATGCAAGGTTCGTATTTCTGAAAACAAGGCGTGTGTGTCTGTGTGTGTGTTAGGGAGTGGATGATGGGGGAGATTATTTCTAGCCTCTGAGAGTCTAGTAATCCTGGTTCCTGACTCTCAAGTCAAATTAAAATAAAACAAAGCAAAATGAACAACAGAAAGCATTGAGTGTGGAGAAGAGCTGGCTAATTACCTTTAAGAAAAATTTCAGGGGGATTGAAAATCCAACGGAAGAGAGAGGTTTCAAAACCCTACCTATAGGATAGCATTTCACTGCCCACATAAGCCCAAACACTTTCCAGGGAGAAATCAAACAGTTTAATAAATGTATTATACGAGTGGCAGGATTTTACTGATATGAAATGTGCTCCCCTAACTTTTGGTTTACAATCCACTCTTTTAGAAAACATTTATAATTCTTATACTGAAAAGCTCTTCTAAAATTTAAAGGTTTGTTGCCTGCAAGTTCTTAAGCAGTCTAACTTCTTTTGAAATACCTTTCGGTTATAGTTTCATAAGCAAATATAAGCCCCCAAAGACTTATACAATGCTTTCACCACCAACAAAAAAAATACTCTAAACTTTGCAGATACTGAACAACCAATCATACCACCTTAATCAGGTTGAAAGCTGAAGGATACTTGCATATCTTTGTGACTATAAATTATATCTGTTTTCCTCCAGAGCTTACAAATGACACAGGCAAGAGCAATCAGAAATTACGCTTTGCAAAATCAGGACTAAAAGACAAATTGAAGTCAGTATTCCTATGTAAAATCATCTGGAAACTAAGCTCCTATGTGTACACATTCAACTCTAAATGCCAAACCAAAACCATCAGCAGCAATCCTTTAGATGAAACAGTCTAATGTACTACTTGGAGCTAAAAATGCAAGGAGAATCTCCAACTCTCTATTGCTTACAATAGATGGTACAGAAATCAGTGCAGGTTTTCCTGCTCTAGAATTACTAAACCTTGAGAAAAAAAAGGCTTTTCAGATTGATAGATTACATGCACACAACAGTCTACGTGATCCTCTTGACAGAACATTACTCTTATTTTTCACAAGCACTAGTTATCCCTTTACAGTGTGAACACAGCTCATTACAAACCGAGCTAGAACAATGAAGTCAAACAACTATTTCTGTAAAAGATAAGCACTACAAAGAACACACTGATGGACGATTTCAAGTACAAAAAGACGAAAGAGCCATTAGATGAAACAACAGAGTCAAAATATAATAATCTGAAGACAAACTTAAGAACAAGTAAAAGGTTTTGTGGCCTAAATGATTGATGTAAATCTGCATGCAGTAGGTTCCTGGACCCCAAATTCTTTCTTATTTTGGTAAGTAAAGTGTTGTGGGAAAATTTTCTAATAAACTATTTTCTGAGTAATGCGAAAAATAAAAGGAACAGATAGTACCCTTACAATGAAGACTGCTTCTTCATTCATACAGCACAATTCCTTATCCTCAACTCCAAAATTCAAAGTTTTTTGGGCAAAATTTTGGCAACAGAACCAGACCTCATTTGGTGGTACTATTTATAATCTTTACTTGGTCCATTTATTACTACTTACATATATTTTACTTCAGAAAATGCTCCAGAGTCTGCAAGAGGTGTTACATGATGTATGCTACAAACACTACTTCTTTTCTAAAATTCGAAAAATTCTGAATTCCAAGATACATTTGGCCTCAAAGATTTCTGACAAAGGACTGTGTGTCCACAGTTCTTTTTTTCCCTATGCCCAGAGGACAATTTAAAGGCCTTAAAGATGATGTTATAATATTAAGAGCTATTAAAATGTTAAAGAAAATGTTATATTTATAGCTAAATTCATTTTTCAGTGAATCCAGAAATCTGTGTAATGTTAAATGTCACTAAAAACTGGGATAGATATTAGTTTCATTAATTTCATATTTCTTCCCACGTCCCTAGCCTATTAATTTAAAATCATTAAACCCTGTTAAGTCACACTGAGGGAGGTATTTGAACTGTGTACAATGCTCAGAAATTATTTCTTCAAAATATATGTAATACAGTCCCTGAGTAATAAAAAGCATTCTTAAAATTCAACACATTGGAAAGAAAATTCTGAAATCTTTGACTTGTCCAATAGAAAGTGAAAAGACAGTCCGAAGCAGCCTATGTTAGTCAGCCTCACAGAAAGCTCAGTGATCACGTCTGCTATGATTAGTCCGCTGACTTGAAGTTACCATGTGAACTCTTGCTAATCACTTCC